TGTGCATCCCTGGAGTCCTTGACCTAGTTGGGGATATTGGTGACATAATGAATTGAGGCCTGAGGTCAAGTGCTTGGCTTTAATAGTATAGAAAAATTCACCTTGATGGAGCACTTGACATGAATTATCTTATTTATCACCAGAGAGAGAACTTTGACCAAAACCACACCAGTTACAGCAGAGATAGAGCCTGGATACCAAGCCAGGGTTCTCTGAGGCCACTGCCTGAGGGTCTTGAGATGTTCTAGCAAGGGAGGGTGGAGAGGGGGAAACAGAAAGGCTCATAGTTGGGCTTGGGCCCTTCACCCCTTTCTAGCCAGAGTAGCTTTCATTTGTCCAAATGATTCTGTTGTGGAAAGGAGACAGCAAATGTCCTGAGGAATACTGGGTGCAGCAAGTATTCTTTATTTTTATGTAAAGTCATTTTAAATTCTCACATAGGATTTGCTGTTTGATTAGTTTAAGAGATAGGCCCTAAAGAAAATACCAGATGAACAAACTCTTTGGATTAAAGCTAGCAACAATAAAAAGATAATACTTTACGTGTATTGCTGATGCAGTTGGCGTGTAATCAGCCCATGAGTGCTGGAGAACAGGGGACCTCCACAGCCCTGGCCTGGGGCCTAGGAAGAGAGAGTCTCACAAAAGTGGCACTGCAGGTTTTCCCCACCCCCCAGGTTAAAACAAACAAACAAACAAACAAACAAACAAGCAATTGACATACATACTTTAAAGGCAAGCAACTCCAAACTGATCATTGACATTATTAAAATACTTGTTTTATCTGGGAAAGATTTTCCCCACAGTTTCTTTTAAATAGGCAGCTAGCTATAGGATTGCTGTTTAGTTTTTGTGTTTAATCTTTAATACTTGGCTGAGAAGCTGGAGTTCAGGCAGAGAGAAATGTATAGGAGCTTTGCCCTTTGAGGATCTGTCAGACGTGGAGAAAAAGCATCCCAGAAGTTACAATAGGATTGCAGTCATCCACAGCTCTTCGGCAGTACTCATGTTTCATAGAGTGAGGTGTTCCTGTGTGTGCAGAGCCCTTGATTCCACAGCCAGCTGTCTTTCCCTGAATCTCATCACCTCCTGACATCAGTCGTCCCATGGTCACTTTGAAAGAAAACCTCACACTTTCTGCATCCATGTGTCATCCTCGCCGGATGCTTTCCCAGTGTTTACTCCTGCTCTTCCAGCCTAGTTGGAAGTACCTCTGGGTTCAGAGCTGTGGATTTGCTGCCAACCCTGCCAACTTCCCATCACCTCGGATCTGGGGCTGTTGAGTATTTCCAGCATGAGTAGAGTTCTAAATAGTTCGGAGGGGAGACACCCTCCTATGCCTTTCCCCAGGAAAATCTGGCTTGGCTGAGTGGTGTTTTCTGTGACTGGCCACCTCTTCCTCGTTCATAAGCCCTGAGACTGGCCAGCATGTAGCGCATTGGGCAAGAAACAGCTGTTGTTTTGACAAAGGATGCTCTTGCCTCATTTTTTTGCATCACCAGAGTGAGTAAAGAGATCTTTTATTCCAGGCCTCTGCCCTGGACAGGTGAATACACAGGCCATGAACACTCACATATAGGGTGCATTATGTAAAATATATTTCTGTAATTATATACGTATGTATTTTTTCACATTAGCAGGATTTTAAAAATTCACACATATTGCAGTTTTTCTAATTAAGTAATATGTGCACATGGCAAAATGGCCAAAAGATATATACTGAAGAACAAGTCTCCTCCCTGGTGCCTCCTCAGAGCCGAGCGCAGTTACAGGTGTCTGCTGTATCTTTTAGAGATAGTCAAAGCTTATGCAAGTGTGTGTATAGAGACTCTCTTAAACAATGCTAGCACTATTTTGGCACTTTGCCTTTTTTGATTAAATACATCTTGAAGATCATTCCATCTCATATAGTGCCCGTAGGACTGTATTTCTTTTTAAACCATTGCAGAATAATCCTCGAGTGCCTATATATGTTGCTGGACATGTAGGTTGATTTCGTGGGTTTTTATTTTTTCTCTTTGAGAGTTTTTAATACCTTTCAGATGTGGAGACTCTCCACACTCTTTTTTACATGTGACCAGTGACTCAGTGGCTGAGGATTCTGTATTTTAGGCCCCCAACCGTCACCTCCCCTAAACACATTAAATTCCCTTGTTAATGTGTCATTATATTTGACACTTTGAGCGTAGGCAGGCTGGGTAGATAATAAAAGCGTATTTGGCTTATGTTTAATAGCTGTCTCCTCCCTTTGCGTTGTCCCCACAGCCTGAGAAAGCCTTGGTATCCTAGGTGGTTTTTCAAGGAACTCAGTCAAAGATTGTGAGGCTTAAATCTGACCAACCAAACCTAGGGTGGTGGCAGCTACCCCTCCAGATCTGTGAACGCTCAGTCTCTTCCTTGCCGTGACAATCTGTTTCTGAGGTGGCGGGTGGCATTACAGTATTAAATTTGGAGACCTCCATTGGTTTCTCATGTGGACCTGCATATGTCTGCGTGCATGAGAAAGGGAGTGTGGCAGGCCCCTGAGGGTCCCTGACTGCCAGCAGCCGGTTCCTTTCGGCATGCTGGCCCTGCAGCCCTGCGATAAAGGTGGGTTAGCCTTCCATCAAGCGATCTGTCCCAGGCTCAGCCTTCATTAGTTAGGTTTTCTGATGAATTTTCCTGAGGGGGCTTGTGGGGAACCTCAGATCAGAGAGTCCCACAGATCATGTGCTCTTAATGTTATCTGCAGCCCCCCCCGCCCCCGCCCCCGCCATTCCCAAACTCTTCCCCACTAGCGTGCCCCTGGCATCCAGCACCTGGTGACACCTGCTGATTCCCCCACTCCACCTCCGAAGTAGGGTCCTCGCTGAAAGCAATCAGAGCTCTTTGTTTTTCTCTAAGTTTTCTGCATCCATGTGTAATTGGAATAAAACATCAACTTTTCTTTTTTTTTTTTTTTTGTCATATTTCAATATTGGCTCCTTTCCCCCTTCTTGAAGTCTCCTTTTATAACTTATGCTGCTGCTGCTTAAATATAGATGTCTAAGTCCTCCTCCTTACCAGATTGTTTATATTTTTGAAAAGCCTTCTGCTTATCTGCGATTGCTCTCTCCTCTATCTCCATCCCCACTTTACCACATTGGTTTCGGTTGCTCTTTTTTCCTGCCTTCACTTGACTGGGATGTGTTTCAAATGTGGTCTATCAAAATGTGCAGTGTTTCCCTCTTTTCTGCAGTAGCTTTGACATCTGTTCTTGAATTCTAGCCCACGTTATTCTTTTGGACTTGTTTGCCCAAGATTTGCTGTAATGCCAGAAACACTAAAGGGGAGAGTGTGGTGTGGTGGTATCTCCCCTCCTCCTCCCCCCACCCCCACCGTAGTTTCTCTCCCACCCTTTTTAAAACTGTCTGTGATTTCCAAGTCGACAGCACACTGGATGTTTGTTCCAGCACTCTGTCATCTCGTCTGGCGGTGGCCCACCCTAAAGTGGTACGAATGAAGTGTTCACCAGCAGGGCTTAAAGACTACTTTGGTATTTCCACCAAAAAGGAAAGCAGGTGGAACTTCATGAGGTGGGTGGAGGGTGGGCAGAGAAGCTCTCACTTGCTTCCTGGATGTCTGCAGATGGGTTGTCATTTTGATATCCCTCGCCTTTCAGCCTTTCATTGGGTCCTTGCTCTGCTGTGCCTCATGGTCTGGAACAGTCCAGACCACTGAGAAGCCCTTTGGGGTAGCCGCTTTAATCCTAAGCAGAAGGTGCTAGTGTGTATCTTAAGCAACTAAAGCCACTCAGGAAGAAAATGGACCTTTTGGGATGGCTCCATTGTGTAGTGGTTAGCACGTCTGCTTTACACACAGAAAGTCCTGGGTTTGTGCCCCAAGTGGAGCCACAGACCATACCCCGGGTGCGCCAGGCCCCGAGTGTGGGCCACAAGCATGTGGGATGAGATGCCCTGCCTTCATAGATTCAGTTTTTAAGGGGAGATGGCAATATCCGTAGGTCAGGGGTAGAAGTATGTGTATGTGTCAGAGGGGGCGGGGGGGTTGGAATTAAAGAGAGGAAAAAAAGATTAAAAAAAAGAAAAGAAAACGGACCTTTTAGTGGCTACAGGAACATGTCCTTGTGCTGTGGACCCATCTGCTGTAGGCTTGTTTGAAAAAGGTCCTCTTGGTAGCTCCTCCCAGAATTTCCGAGACCAGGACACAGGTCCTCTGATGCTTTGAGCATTTGTTTGGTCTATATAGCAAAGCCCAGAGAACCCTTACAGGTCTTTTTACAGGGGACCCACTCCTGGTGGTTCTCAGAATTCCATTGCAAGTAATATAGTTTGAGGATAACTGCGGTTTCCAGATGTCTCATTTCCAAAGTTTACAAGATATTGGAAATCATTATTCTTGAAATATGTCCCTTAAAGGTCCTTCTTGACAATAATTTTAATGGTCCTGAACATGATATCTAGCTTATAGCAAGCCCCACAATAAATATTTGTTGACTGAAAGCAAATGATAAAGTATCATTACAAAACATTCCAAGCCCGCACCATGGAAGGACAGCCAAACAGAATGCCCCAACGAGAATTGCAGAGTGAACGAGAAGGACAGAACCCAGAAACATAACAAGAAGAGACGCTGGTTAAGAACAGAATCGGGTGACTCCAGGAAGGGATGACATTTGGGCATTGGCCTAACTCTGGTTTTAGCAAAGAAACATGTGTCTGCATGTTCTATTATAGAAGGTCATTTGTGAGGTGACATTGATACATCAAAGCTGAGCGAGTTTGGTTTCCTCAAACCAGTGCATGGGGCTGGATGGGGACCACGTGATTGTGCCTGTTTCGCTGTCTGCAGCGCCCCCCTCCTTCCAGTGCAGCCTCTGTCGACGAGTCGATAGTCCTTGATGAGTTGGTAGTTCTTGGGGTGCTGGGGCTCTCCCCAGTGTTCTGGTCAAATGCAAATACGATCTCCTCTGTATAAAATGCAATTTCAATCTCGTCTTCCCTTTTTGTTTCTCTTGACAGAGGGAACTCGATGCCACCGCAACAGTATTGGCGAACCGGCAAGATGAAAGTGAGCAGTCTAGAAAGCGGCTCATCGAGCAGAGCCGAGAATTCAAGAAGAACACTCCAGAGGTGAGGCGACATTCCATCCAGGTCTCTCTGAAGGGGTCTCACTATCCTGGTACATATTCAGAAGACGTGTTATAAGCTTTTCATTTCTATCAGACAGACAATCTGCTGCTTTCTTTCTATTGTCCTCAGCCCCATGCCAGCAGACTGCGTGCCCCCACGTGGGCTGGGGAATGCGAGCATTGATAGGTTGTCTGAGCAAGTTAAAGCATGCTCTAATTCCAGATGCAGACACTGAACAAGATGCATGTGAGAGCATATGGCCAGGTATGTGGCCAGGTCAGATCCTTGAACCCATCCCGGCCTCTGGCCCCTGTGCTCTGTGCGCATGCCACTCTGAGCCCAGGAAGGATCACCGAGTTATGAGTACATAGTGGGCAGAAGGGCCTCAGGGGGCCCCCTTCCCAGGTGTGGGGCAGGCAGGGTTTCTGAGGGCTATACGCATCTGAGGATGCACTGTGCTGGTATTTCTTGAAAATCAGGCAGTTAGTCTGGTAAGACCTTTTAAATGTCTGTTTCCAGAAATACGCTTTAAAGGGCACTGGAAATGTTCTCTTGCACTCCTGTTTTTTTCTTGTAAGTACGTATTTGGAGGACAGTGTTTGGAGTGGCTGGGGCAGTGTTTTCCTGGTCTGCTTTCTAGGTCTCTTGTTCCCTCAGTCCTATCAAAGGCTTTGTAAGCAGTAAAAAGAATTTTACAGACAGTTGCGCAGATGTAGGACTTGCTTTCCAGGGAGCTTCTGCCAGTTTGGCCCATGGTGGTTCTCATGCTGTGCATTCTCCCAGCCTCTTGCACTCTCCACGCAGGACTGAGTGGACTGCCGCTGCCTGTAGCTTTGGCCCCAGCCCCTAGGCCTCCAGATTCTTCCATGGAGGACAAAGGAACAGGGCGGGAAGAAAAGGTGCTTTTTGGGAGGGACGCCTCCAACTTTTACAGCATACCTCATTTACAATATACAGAATTTTTGAAAAATGTTGTGTGAATTGAATTTTTAAAAGTGGACTCATTTTAAGTGTTCCAAAGGAGCCTACTATTTAAAGGAGTGCTATGGTGAATCATTTTGGGAAACAAATAATTAACCCCTATTTTCAGAATAAATCTGTTGGGAGAGAACACGATAGCCCTGTGGAAAGAAAGAGGGCTCTAGGGGCAGACCTACTTAAAGGTTTTATATTTGAGACTCACTACTTACCCTCTCCATCCCACCCGCCCTTAAGCATGGATCTGCCCTGTTTTATGGGACCAAAAATGCAGATCAGAGTAATTTGAGCTTAGGGTTGCCGCCCTCTGTGTAGCTTTGGGAGGAATCTCTAGACTTCATGTTCCACCGTATCCTAAGTAAAATCAGGAGCAAAAGAAGGAACCAAGGACAGGACTTCCTCTGTTGCTTTCTCCCTCTCAGGCTGCTTCAGAGCAGATCTTTCTGGAGAGTCTAGCAATGGAGTTTCCCAATCTCTCGTCATTGACTCCATTTCTCCCAGCTGACCCCTGTCATATCTGTCTCTCAAGCCACTCTCACCACTGTTTTAGTCACTAGCTGTCATCTTCCATCTTGTGTTCTCACTGTCTCTCCCTTGGTGACCATATGTTCAGGGGTGCCCATAGGAAATCTAAAAAGAGAAGATTAGGATCAGCCTTCTATGGCGATAGACAACAATAAGTCGACAAAATCTGTCATATGACAAGTACTATGAAGAGGAAAAAGCAGAAAGCTAGATTCTTGGGTCTTCCTCTGGAGTCCCACTGTCCTGTCAGCTGCTAAAGGCGTGTTACCCCCGAGGAGAGGGGTGTTCCCTCTAGCCTCCTAGTGGTCAGCACTTGGCTGATAAATATTGATTGGATTGAATTGGGCCCAGTCTCTCCACTGATATCTAAACAAGACTCATTCCGCAGGAACTGGAGCCAGCTCACATCGCTTGTGTTGAATCCCATGCCAATTACCTGAAAAACCCAGCCTTAAACTGCCTTTTATCCCAATAAATAGAAGAGGCCTTGGGAGGAAGCAGCCTGACTTGTAAATGCCATTTGAGACATTTCTTTTCAGGACACATTTTTAGACATTGTCTTCTGTGGAAAACGGGACCCAGAATCCCACCCGGAAGGGGACAGCAGTTGCCATCTTGTTTGCTCCCGTCCTCTGCCACTTGGGCTGCTCCACTCAGAAAGTCTTGCTGCAGCACGAATCTCCAGGAGGCGTGGAAGGGTGGAGCTGCATGCAGCCTCCTGCCCCTCCCCTTGCATTTCCCTATCCCAGGCCCATCCTGGAAATCTGTGTGGGGTCTCTGTGGCAACCCTGAGGCGAGACCCAGCAAAGAAGACAGGCAGCTTCACTTACACCACCAACCAGAATCTTCTGTTGGAAAATTTGAAGCCACTTAAGGCTAGACTGGAGCAGGGGGTGGGTAGCTACAGCCAGGGTCTTCTGGGGTATGGAGGGAGGAGGTACATGGGGGCAGTCTGGTGGCAATGTGGGGGCTCTGGCGGTGTGGGGCCTAGGATACAGAGGGGATACTGGATTGCTACTTTGTTTGGGCTTTCATACCAGAGGAGCCCAACTTCTCTCCGATGTCAGTCACTTCTCCCGACTGTATCACTGGACAGATTACTAAACATGGGAGGGTTACTTACCACTTACTATAGAGGGAACCATTTAGAAATTGGACAAACGCAGGTTGCTTAGAACTTTGTTCTCAGGGGTAAAAAAAAATTTGCCTTGCTGGCGGGAAAGGCACCTCTTCATGTGGACACAGACTAGGAGCCTCATGCCTCACATGGCTGGCTGAGTAAGGACCAGGCACTTGTTCCAGGGAGGCCGATGAGGCAGAGCCAGGGCCAGTGATATTCTTGCTGGCACCTCACCAAGTGTGTTAATTCTCAGTGAAAACGCTGGTGTCCCTCTTTGTTCTGGGAAGGAAGAACATGTCCTCCCAGTGTCTATGGAATATCTAGTAAGGCTAATATGCAGGCTTAGGCACCAGGGTGAAGGCAGGGGTAAGTAAGGTTTTCTCTCAATAGGGAGTTTATATATTCCTAGACTGACCCTGCCCAAGGGTACTGGGAAACCTCAAGTCCAGAGGGACAGGTGGGCTCTGATGGGAGGACTTCGGGAAGGGTAATAGAATCCTACCGGCTGGGTCATTTCACATGGGATAAGCCACAGGAGCACAGAGCGGCAGGTGCTGGGGTGGCCAGAGCCTTGAATATCTTTTGTTTAGAATGGATTTTTTTAAGTTTCAGTTTAATGTCAGTAGATTAATAACACATTCATAGTTAATATTATTGCTTATGTTTTTTTAACCTCAGAACTATAGTTAATTTGAAGGAGATTGCAATGATTCTGCAAGTCGTTTTATGTATTTTTTCGATAAAGAGTCCCTTTCAAAGAAAAACATTTTTTAATTTTAATTTAATAACTAAACATTCATTCTCTGTTTACTTAATAATCGATAGTTGAACATAAAAGACTGTGGAGATATTTCTAGGTTGTATCGCTTTCCATATGATTATTTTTGGTGACTTACTGGCTGTTGCCATTGGGCAAATTGCTTAATGTCCTAAAGTCTCAGTTTCATAATCTATAAAAAGTATAATGACAGGGCCCAGCTCACAGGATTGCTGTGTGTGACATGAAAGGCCAGGATTACCTTTGATGCCCCAAATGGTATCTGTATTGATGTGTGTGTGGAGGGCTCCGCAAAGGCCTGGCACCTAGAGTCCAGGATGTGTTTGTCACTGTATTAACTTGGAATGTGTACTATGGAATGCATTAGATGTAGCTGATTTCTGCTCCTCAAAGCTAGGAGCAGAAAAAAAAAAAAAAATACAGGTAGTTTCAGCCTAAAGTGTTCCAAAAGTTGGTTTGTAATAATAGTTTAGAATTTTACAGATATCTTTTGAACACCTTTCATGTGTCAGTTTGGCTCTGGGGGTAAAATCCTATCCCTATTCTTAAAAAATTTCTTATCTTTCTACCATGCAACTAGAATATCCTGATATGGCGTGTTAAGCACTAGGATGGTATAACTGGAATCTTCTGAATGCACACTTTGCTCCAGAAACACTCGCATATCCATGGTGGTAAGGTTCCAAGCCACACATGCCTGGGTATCTCTTACTATAGTTACACAAGCCTGCTTTTTGAGCCTTCCTTTGAAATAATGGTGGCTGTCAAAGGGCCCTCTCCCCTGAGAAATGCACTTGTTTGCATACAGTTTCTTCTGGGCTCTGAAACTCATTGGGACCCCTCGCTTAGAGCACAGCTCCAGGGCCCATATTGGCAGTCTCAGCAGGCCTTCCGGAAGCATCCTATGAGTCGTCTTCTTCACCCTCCTCCTAGTTGTGCCCGGGGTAGGAGGGATGGAGGTAGGGGCACGGGCTGTGTGAGAGATGATCGCCAAGGCCCTGACCTCTGGACAGAGGCCACTGTGCTCTGGACTGGGAACTGAAGAGTGGGAGATGGGTGGAGGTACTGGCCACCCCCAATGTGGTGAGGGTCCTACAGGCTGCCAGCAGGCGCAGGCACCTGTGCGCTGGGCGACACTTTATTCCTATGCGAGGCTGGTGAAGGGCAAAGCCAGGCAGGTGTTAGTGTATGCAGGGGAGAGGACAGCTGGGAGTAGCTTTCTCCTGGTGGTGTTAGAACTGTGTGCAGCCAGAACTCTTGTCTTCTGCTTTTCCGTTGCTTTGATCAGAGACCCGAGATGTGGGCAGGCCAGGATTACCACTGAGGCCCCAAATGGTATCTGTATTGATAAAGCCAACTACAGATTGGATCACCAGGGATGTGGAAGCATGTAGGTGCCACCCAGAACCATCACCTTCTTGCTCCCACAGGCACTGGGCCAACTCCTCACTCCTGGACGAGTTATTTCTCATCGGGGACCATGAAGGGGCACCACTAGGGTTTCATGACTCTGCCTAGGAATTGCTTTTCTATTCGGTTAAGTTTTCAGTTTGCTCCTCGGACCAGAGGTTAACTTGAGGTTCTCACAGCTGCTGCTCA